TGACTTGAGCGGCTTCTAAAGGCCTAAATACACACGGCGATTAATCGCCATGATTAAAAGACGAAAACCAATGGAGAGCCTGGATTTTGATATATCGACGTCAAAATGGATCGAAATCCAGGCTCTCCATTGGCTTTCGTCTTTCAATCGCGGCGATTAATCGCCGTGTGTATTTAGGCCTTATGAGAAGATGTGTGGGGCACCTTAAAGCTAGAGAAGTACCCGGGGAAGACCCACAAAATTGATCAAAAATTTAGAATCTCATATATGGCATTTTAAGTATTCCGTCACTACGTTTACTAAGAATGAAATGAAAAATTGAAGAAAAATGTACAGATTCTCTCGTTTTCTTCGGTCAGCATTGATTCTTCCTACATTCTTACACATCAACGACTGCATTCCATCGACATTAAAATATTCATCACTTTCATGTTTCTACAATTTTGTTCATTGTGCCTCCTTCCTCTACCAACGATCGAATTAAAAAGTTCATTAGAATACAATTTTTCAAGACAACAAATGAAAACAGAGTAAGAACCAGGTACCTACTCAACTTCAAAAATCCGTAATTCTCAAACAAGCTAATACTTTCCAGATTGCGATTTTACTGGTGTGAGTGATAAAATAATACCAATAAATTCCGAACGAAACCTCCAGTCAGGAGAAAAGCATGATGTCAGAAAAAAATTAAATAAAGCACGAGATCGAGGACATTTTTTATCAATAGGTTATCAAAATCGTTAATCGATTCAATCAAAACTCATGGAACGATATGAAAGTTATATGTTAATCAAATAGATAACTATTCGCGCTCCGCAGTATATTTGTTGCCTATACGGCAAAATTGAAGGCGAACGTCAAAGAGGGCGACATCCGTCAATAAGTTTATGCATGGGCTATTCATTGGTTCTATTAAAGTTTATGACGAGAGATTAATATGTGTCTTTCCAATGTTGGTGTTTCGTCTATGCAGCAAAATTGAAAGCGAAATTCATTTGGACGATACCTTGCCTTTAACTACCCTACACCTGCCATTTTGAGCTCCCATTTTCATCGAGCAATTCTCATTTTAAAATGTGAGTGTCAACTTGTTTGGCTCGGTAGTTTTAAATGTGCGTGTTTTTTTTTTTTTCTAGAAGAATAAAGTTTTCGACATAAATGCATGTACTACGGTAGAGGACAATCCAGAATTTTCTCGTCAACCGCTTTGCGAAATGACGTATTTCTCTCTTGATAAGAGTAGCGTGCATAGGAAGTTGCTATTTTATGCAGATTTGGTCATTTTAGATTCATAATTTTTTTCCTTTTCCCCCCAAAGACTTACGTGCGTCACAATATACGTCTGCGGATGTTGTATTTTTTTTCACCGCTGTGCACATTGATAAATTTTTGTTTTTCAGGAGGCAATTCTTGCCTAGTTGGGTCGAAAAATTTAGGTTTGAGTCTTTGACGGCAAATACTATCCCTACCCGCATCTAAAGAGCAGGTTGCTGGAAGTTCATTAGCTTCATTTTGTTCTACTCTATGGCCAGAAGTCCAATCATGATTCAACAATTTTGAGACCCAAACCTGGCAGATTTAAATTTCAAACGATTTTCCTTCATATAAATTGTGGTTTTTGAATCGCAATATTTGAAGAGCCGAACTCTGACTTGGTTTGACATGTTCCGCACTGACATTTTAAAAAATCCACCCATGTGCAATTGTGAAAATATTTCAATTTTAAGGTTTTTTAAAAGTTCTTTGAGGGTTATAATTCAAGATGAGCTCTGCAACCTCAAATGAACATTATATTACGGATCAGCACACATTGATGCTCCAGGCTTTCAAATTCCAGGGGTTAAAAGACCGAATGGAATGTTTGTATATGTATTTCTGCAGATCCAATCGTTCATAAGTCTCTCCTTGACGTTAAAATATCATTGATCTGGATTGCATTTTGCAAAACGAAACCGCTAGCATTGCAATGATGCTAAGATTGTGCAACTTCATCTTTTGCAATAAAATTGCGGAAATCGTGAAAAACTATGAAATTTAGATGGTAATTTTTGTCTTAAATCTACAGTTTTTAGCGAGTAAAATAGAAACTATGAATGGATAATCGGGTTTTTCCTCCAAAACAAAAGAAGTTGCACAATCTTAGCAACATTCCAATGCTAGTGGTTCCTTTTTGCAAAATGCAATCCATCTGTCAAACTAAAAATTGGATTACATTTTGCAATAAGGAACCACTATTTCTGGCTCATTTTAGAAACAATATTTAAGCCATTGGTTTCCCATGCAAAAAGGTGTTTTTAAAGAAAAGCCGGAGATAGTGGTTCCTTATTGCAAAATGTAGTCCAATTGAGCACGAGCAAGCCGTGATTTGTGTGCAATTTCAGACAACTATGGGCGGCCCTTGACCGCAGCTGTCCCTTCGCGCCGCGTCGCTCCAATCATAACTAAAGGGACTAAGCGTTGACTGCGGGGACGGCCAGGAACCAATTTGCAGAGAGCCGTCACGCGTCACTCAGACAAATGAAAACCACTTTCTTCGAGTTGATTTTCAGGGTCATACCGCGAGGCCCGAGCCCGATATCAGAAAGTGTCCCGATCGAGTAACATACTGACCCGCTCACCGTACCAGCGTCCTTTTAATTTATTTATGCTCGATACCTTCCGTGAGGTCAGTATTGTCGTCTCGATGGGCCCGGATCGATTCATGTAAGTGCTTTCTGGGGGAGCGTCTTACTCCGCGAGATTTGAACTTGATTTAGAGAGATATATTCCAAAAAAAGGTTGATTTGGTTTGATTGAGCTCTCATGCTGCCATGCTAAGGAAAAAAACCTTATGAGCCTTCAAACATTGCCAAATTTCCCTTGATAAAATACGAATTTCTTGGTAAGCTTATGAATATTTTTCTTCCAGTCTTATAGTAAATTTTGTTTGCGAGTTTACCTGAATTCCCTGAAAATTTCAAGGAAAAATAACAATAACTTTCCTCAAAAATGAGCATTTTATCGAAGGAAATTTGGCAACGCCTGAAGGCTCGTGCGGCGTTTTTCCTTAGCACGGAAGCATGGATCTTGCAGAGCCCAAAATCAGCTTCAGCGTCGGTCGGGGGCTCAAAATCAGCTTAATCGTCGGTACACACTGATCATGGAAAAGTTAATGGGTAAGTGGCAGAGACATACACTGCCGTGCTAAAGAAGAACGCCTTGCGTCTCTACATTCGCTCTGTGTCGCGGTTTCTCGGGTTTTCCTCGGCTACTTAATTATGACACCTTTTAATAAGTTTTCAGGTTCTCAGACACATAACATAAGACCGAACCACTGGTAAAAGAATAATCTTTGATTTCACCCGACGCCCGAGCTTTTTGAGGAGCACAGGATGTAGAAGGTAATAAGTCCTAAAATCCAGCCTCGATTGATTATCTACACCATACCAGGACTCGGCAATACAACGACAAGGATCCTTATTTATGGACTACCAAGGCCGGATTTACCTATTTGCCGCCCATGGGCCGCCTGTATTTCGCCGCCCCTTCTCATTCGTTTTGAAACATCGATTCAAACAATCAAGTGAACGTGCCGGAGGAGGAGGGGTGCGCAAGACGCGCTTACTCGTGTTGGGCACATTTTTTGTGAAAGCCCTATCAACACTAGTCAAAGTTCACGGAACTTTGCGCGAAAATTAAGTTCCGTAAACCTATCTCTGTGTGGACAAGGCTTTTCATACATAAGAAATGAACGAAAAAATTATGAGAGAATAAATATGAATGTGGTTTAATGATTTTAATTTCCGCCACCGCGCCAACTGCACTGTTTGGCGCAATGCGTGAAGGATCTCCACAGTCTTGTAGGCGCTATGCGTTTCACGCCGACCGCTGCTGACCGCACTGTTTTTAACGCAATGCGTGAAGTATTCATGCAGTCTTGCAGGCACTATGAGTTTCACGCCAACCGCTGCGCTATGCTGACCGCACTACGTTTGACGCAATGCGTGAAGTATTCATGGAGTCTTGTAGGCGCTAATATATTTTATTGCTGACCGGCGCGGCGCGCCGAGAAGGGCTTCTTCTTTCTATCTCAAGTCCTCGTCATCATTGCTCTCTGCGCCGCGCCGCTCCAGGCCAAATTGCGTGTTTGGTTTCTCTCTCAACTAGACTAATGAAAGGCGCTGTCTCTTGTATCACCGGTAGACGAACTAATTAGAAATTACTATACTTTAACTCTTAAGAAATGAGAGATTTTTTCGCCTTTTCTCGTTTGAAAATTTTTTTCTGAATCAGATTTTTTCTTGATACCTACATTTGATGAATGAATTACAACATTTGCCGCCCCCTAAATTTGCCGCCATGGGTTGCGGCCCATGTGGCCACCCCCTAGATCCGGGCCCTGTGGACTACACTATGCATCTAAGAACTTAAATTTCTAGCTCGGTTTAGAAGCAATGTTTATATCATTATTTCCCCGATGCATATATATGTTTTTACGGATGATCTAGAAATTGTAATTCCTAATTGCAAAATGTTGTCCTTTTGTTCCGGAAGTAGTTGCGGGCAAGTTGAACAGGAGCGTCAATTTGAATTACGCGCCGTCTTCTTGGCGCGAACGAGGGAGAGGGGAGTAATCACGTGGTGTAAATAAACACGGGATGTAAACATAACCTAAAATTAATCATTAATCAAGAAAATAGTTCATGAAGTAGTTTTATGAAGCTGTTTGACTTCCTCAATTCTACAATTTACTCAGTGATAAAATTGAATAGAAATTGAAGCATATCATCCCTTGACACCACTATCCCTAAACGATTAGACGTTTCGTGTGCTGTTCATCCACGGAAAATTTTGTCTCGTGTTGCAATTCCCGTTTGTCCTTTAGACATTTCTCAGCCGTAAGTTATCAACTGATCTTTCATTTATTATAAGCATACTCTCATCAGTTCAGTGATTAAAATCTCATGATGTTCATTTTGATCTCCTGGTAATGGCACTCACTTTATTTGCACGTTACCACAACAAGTTATCTAGTGCAGTTCAGAAATCATCATTTCAACTTCAAAAGAAAACAATAATTCTCACGATAACCATCTGCTGGAAGCGCATTTTGGAGAAACTGTATTCATCTGAAATGTTTACCAAGATAATGATTTGTGCACAACATACCTAAGTAGCTGCCTGCTTTTCAATTTTAATTGTAACATTTGCTTTGTGATTTATCTCAAATTCATTTCTTAATCCTGTGAATTTGTTATTACTTACTTGAAGTGAAAGGAAATCATTAATCAGCAATGCTGTTTCTTGTTCTCTCAGGTAATAACTTTTTAAGTTGTCGAAAAATCAGAAATGAATTATGTATACCCTTGACTTCAAACTCCCTCTAGTTCAAATATAAATATATGGGTTAGCAAAGACTTTTAGTGAACATAACTGTGGAGTTCACTTTATCCTGGGACGTAGGAAGTTAAGGCATAGCATTGGTAAATGTTTCTCGAGACACATAGGCAAGCGCGGGATTAGCCAAGGGCGGTCTCTGGTATATTCACAAATGGGGAAAGCGCTAAATTGGCCTTTGGTAGATGCATACGCGCTCCAGAAAAAGTGAAATTTCTAACATGTTTGAAGTGCTTTTTTTCTATAAAGAAAAAATATTGCAAAAGTTTTATCTTCACAAATGCTTAAAAGGAATGTAGTTTATTCTCTTGAACAGGGGCTCTGTACAACAGAGCTCCCTCTGATGGTGCTATCAAAGTGTGAAATACGACTCAAATGTGGAGAGAATCTTCTGAACTTCATTCACTTCCGGAAGCAAGGGCTCCCAGAGTTCCTAAATAGGTACCCTGAATTTTCTTGATCTGGCACACCTACAAAAAATTCTCTGCAAACACCTATGTAGGTACTCATATAAATATGATATTTTCATCTCCGAAAATGTGTTTTTCTAAAAAATAATCTATCACATCCATGGTACTTAATCAGTTAAAATGTTTTTTACAGGCCACTATGGGCGGAGGCAGCGCTTCAATACGTCATATGTGAAAAAGATAGTCAAATTTTCCTTGCTGCTCATGTTCCTCTCTGGTAAGTTTAATAGAAATGCACCAAATCTTATTTTGGAAAAAAATGAGTCGGAAGTAGTAGTAAATTTCATCAGTCATAACTTTCCTCCTGCCAAAAATGAACTGAGTAATTTTAGGAACTGAATCATATTCTTTATTGAGCATAAGGATGGCTGAAGTAGGAAACTTTATAACTCCATTTGCGATGTTGCAAACTTCCTGACATACTTTATTTTTTTGTTGGAAGGCTAGTCAATGTAATACTTTGAAAACACCCTTGATATTTCTTCTTCGTCAGCATTATATTCTGTATAATATTTCAAGCTATGAAATTGGCTTGTCTCCCTTTGATAAAATAAAATTCATGCAGAAATTTTGAAACATTGCAGTGAAGATATGTAGTTTTGCACTTCAGTCTTTATTATTACCCTTCCTCTTCCTCCTCATCCTGAGCTGAACTTAAAAAATTGGAAAGCGTAAATTAGAGCTCTCATTTTTAAATGTCAAAAGTATTTTGAAATGTACCCCATCACATGATAATCAAAGCCATACCGACTTTTATGAAGCATTGAAAAAAACAGTATTAATCCAGTGCCGTTAAGTAATAATGGAGAAAAATTAAGAGGAGAAAAAAGATCAGTCTTGCACCTGAGGTGGCAATATTTACATTGTGCCTTTTTTAGCTAGGCTTTGTCCAATTTCATACTTTTAAACATATTTTTTTAATTTCTGTTCATAGTTCTTTCTCGCTCATTATCAGATGCACGAAGACTTAAAATGCCAAAACCTTCAAGCAAAAATGCCAAGAAAAGTGAAGCCAGTGAACCAAAGGTGAGTCTCATTTAAAAATGTTCAAAATGAAGTTCATGATGACTCAGAATTAACTCTGGGAAGATCACCATCTTCAGCTCAAAATCCAAATCCAATCAATTGAGTAGGAAAAGTTCATACATCCATGAAATTGAGCAATTCCCTAAAATTTAAAAGTTCTTGTAATAAATTCCTTATCCGAATTAAAATGCACGTACCTTACTTTTTGCCTGAACTACTGTGATGAGCACTGGATTTTTTATTTCAGGAATCTTCAACAGCAGATGCAATAGCAGAGAACAAGAACGGGAATATTGTTTTAAGCATTCAAGCCAAACCTGGAGCAAAACAAAATAACATCGTAGGTTAGTTGACTTTAATCACTTTTATTTCTCAATTAAAATGATCACCTAGTAATCATTAATCCTGGTATTACTCACCCTGACAAGATTTCCTGTTATAATTACATTCTCATCAAGGATAATTTTTACTCTTAAAATTTTACCTATCTGAATAGTCAAATGAAGGTAAGAGATCTCTCAGTCATCAGGCTTTAAAAATTGATGGTCTGGTGTGCAACAAAGTAAAAATTGTATTTCTTATGAATTTTTGGTAAAAGTAGGAAGTTTTCTACTTAAAAGCAGTCAAAATTGCATCTTTTTTGCTAAATTGTAGCAATCTGGACATTAATAGAAAGAAAGAAAAATTAGATCATCATTTTGAAGGTTTTAAAGAAAAATAGTTTTTAAAATGGGAAGTTGACTTGAAAAATGGGAAAACCAAGAACTTTCTGTATCCTTGCAACTTACAGTACAAACTTCTAGAAAAATTTACATTTTTGCTCCAGATGATCACATTTTAAAATTTTCGGAAATTCTAAAGAAAATTCTCACATTAGATTAATCAGGAGTTTAAATAAAATGAAAAAACCATTATGTCTCTGGTTTCATTCAGTAACTTCAGACTGTAACTTGTGTCTGCAGGACTGGTCACCAAAAAAAACCATGGACAATTTATTTCCCTGGAAGTGTCAAGCGATTTCTACTTTGAAGAAGAGGAAGATGCTTCTTTTCTTATGATCTGATTTTCTCTATCATATAAATTTTCCTGAATTTGGGTAAATATTGATCTCCAAAAAGAAACCTGAAAACTTCATTGCCCTGAATGGAAAAGATAAACTGAACTTTATTTTGCAACAAGGAACGACCATCTCTACCTCATCCGTTAAAACTATTATCTTCACACAGAAACGTTTGGCACTTATGCTGTTGGATAATAAGTGAAAAATACTGGTTCCATTTTGCAGAGTAATCTAAAAGGACATCATGGAAGCTGCATCCTTTTTATGCATGCTTCTAGATTGTTGGTAAAAGTAGGTCAGGAATTTGAATGTTAAGATATGCATTCTGCATTTGTTCTAATGCTGCGAATACAAAATTTAAACTTTACTCATTCCTACTTAGTTGTTAATTTTGATCTTTTATTTTCATTTTCAGATATCAGTTCGGAAGGTATCGGTGTCCAAATCAATGCACCTCCAGTGGAAGGAGAGGCCAATACAGAGCTAGTCAAATTTTTATCAAAAGTTCTTGGAATAAGGAAAAGCGATTTAAATCTGGATAAAGTTAGTATTTTGTTTTTATATATATATATATTTTATTTGGGTGGCTTTCGTTATGTCTGATAGTTTGGTTCATGAAACTTTTTCATATTATTTCATTTTTCCCCAGTGAGTAAATAAAAGATGGCATCATTAGCTCTGATATGCCACTGTTAAAATGTAATTAAAATTATATTCTTAATATTACAGGTATTGATGTCTCCATCATGTTACCTTAAATTCGAGAGGAAAGAGAAACAAATTGTGAATTTCAGCCTCAAGTTATGCGGAATAGTTAAGAGAAAAAAATGGGTACACATTTTCAACTAAAAAGTGTGCTTCTTTGCCACTGATTAATTATTTTCATTTTTCTCCTCTCTTTTTCAGGGCTCAAGATCTAGGAAGAAAGTTATTGTCATCGAAAAAAGCGCCATATCAATTGATGAAGTTCGCAAGAAGATAAATGAGGAAATAGCAAGAAACTAATAATATTTAATTTTTATTATTAAGAGGTAATGTTATAATTCTTGTAAAAATAATTTTACTTTTTCTGAAGGCAAGAAATATTACAAATTTAGCTGTACTCAATGCATTTGTAAATGTTACTTTACAAAATAAAGTCTGTGATAATTAATTAAAATATCTTTCTATCACTTTTTCTTTACACTTCAAATGAATTCAATCATTGAAACAAACAAATACAGATATGAACTGTACTGAATAGCATCACAGTTCATCTGCTCTGCAATAATGCCAGAATTTCATGTGTTATTGCCCCAAGGCAATTACAATTTTCCAGCCCTCATCATGGTTCCAGCAGGAAAAATTGCATAGTTACCAAGGGGAGTCCAGGGGGTCTCCCCTGAAAACTTATCAGAAAGGGAATGTTTCTATTGAACAAGTTTGATCTATTTTTGATAAAATTTTACACAGGCAATTGTGAATTTAAAAAAAAAAGATAAATAAATCGTTTTTTCTTCTGCTTCCTTACATAATTTCCTACTCCTAGGCAGCTGTCTAGCTTACCTACCTAGTCAGCCCAAGCTTTCCTAGAATCAGATTTGCACAAGTGGAGAGCCAAAAGTCTCCACTGTTAATTGTAATATGCTTTACATGATTGAAAAATTATTTTTACGTACCACTAATTAAGATGAAGTGAAATTCTTTCAATATGATTAAAAGATATCAAATGAGGCTTTATCACGTGATTTGTCAGGGACTCAAAACATGAAACCAAAGTTTCAATTGTAAAACCAAAAATGTCAGGCACAGTCTCAAGAGGATTGGCATTGGTAGTGGGAAAGGTACCCATGAATGAAGTTCCTTTCAGCAAGCAAAATACCAATGACACGAAATAAAGGAAAAGAAGAATCAAGATGCATCACTCATGAAATTTTTTTGGATTTTCCACATCAAGGTTCAATTCAGTTATTATAGATTTAATGGATAGAATAAGTCTGGCTGCATGATCATATTTAAAAACAAAAAGAATGATTGAACTGTTTCACTGTGGCATGAAACAGAAATATGGTTACCTATGGAGTCCTGCATAGAGCAAGAACACAATAAGAAATTACGTTACCCATCTCTGAAAATTAATTTTGTCAATGGTGATTCAGCATTTAATTTACTCGAGGGATCAACAAGTCTTCTTTGAGGAGTTCAAACCAAAGTCCTAAGGTTTTGGCTCCAGAGGTTAAATTTTTGTCCCATCATTAATGTAACCTAAAGGTCTCAGTAAAACGAACTTACAATTTTGAACAATAATCTCCCACGCTTCCTTCTGAATGGAACTAAAGTCGCGTCTTTAATCTTAATAAGACAGCATTACATAAAACTATATGACCTAACAGGGAGGAAAATTATTAATTTTGTTTTTCTCTGTCTTACTTGGTGAGTGTGAAATTCTAGGGTTCTGCTTACCAGTCATATGATTTTTTCCATTGCACTTTTGTATGGGTCATTTCGAAATTAAATAAAGTCTGCACGAGGGGGATTTCTATTGAAAAAGAGATCACACGAAAGCAACGTCAAAATATGATGATCTTTTTTAAAACTAAACGAACTTTTCAATTCAGTGCGGATTTTGCAAAAGCTTGTCCGCAATTTCAAATTTCGCACTGCTTTTTCAAATGTGACCCCTCTGCGATGACTTTCGTGCGCCAACGGTGCCTCACCATCAATCGCCGAAGATTTTGAGGTTAGGATTTGAGCGTGTGCAGTTTTCATTTTTCAAAATATATTCCACTCCAAATAACTCTCATGATTGTGCTTTTCTTTTGAATTCTTCAATTTTTACATTCCGTTTCGTTACGTTTTTTACTGTAGTTTCGTCGTCTGAAGGTCTTGCTTTTTTATTTCAAGGTATGCTATACCATACTGTATTCAGTCAGTAGTGAATTTTTACGAGTTGATCACTGTCTCTGTTTCATTCATTGTTCGCAATGTAAATATTCTCTGTTTTATATTGCATTGATTTCCTAGTCTCATCTATGGCTTGCATTGAATTCAATTTACACGCGGCTTCGGCAAACTTTATTCTGAGGAGGCGTAAATGTTCTTGTCATCCAAGACAGTCTCATGACGATCATTATCCATCTCTGTCAATTGTATGTCATTCTAAATTGAAGTGACTGCAAAAACTTGGTTCATCATCTTATGAGGATTGAACTAAATCAAATCTCAGAGTTTAAAAATGAGCCTTAGTTACTTTATTAGTCTATGAGCACCAAGTGAAGAGCAGCGTCAATTATGTAGGTGCGTATACGCTGGTCAATTAGTGCGTATTTCCTGATGCTGAACCGGGTACGTCATGATATCTGTCTCAGGAAAGTGTGTAATTTTTATATTCACACTAAATAAAATTATTTTATACATCAGGATCAGTATCAAGCGCAATTTGGTGGGACTTATGCTGGACTTGTTTACATTAAAAATCAAGGTGTTACATTAGAAATTCAGGTTTCAACGGTACTATTTGTCACTAAGTATATCATTCCTCTTGACCCATAGAGGGCTGTATGTGAGTAATCTGTACTTTCTAATGCCATTGTTTGAATGTACTAATACATTTATCCTCAGATTTTTCTGCTTCAATTTCTAATCATCCTACAAACCGTTAGGAACGGAATAAAGCAACTTCACCAAAGCTGAGTAAATTCAAATCACCCGCTCGGCTGTCAGCTAACAGGGATCTCCCCCCATCACCTCACCGACTTGGAAGGTCGTCAGCGAGGCCTCGCCTCGCCAAGCTCTATGAACCCCTGCGGTTGGTAGTACACTCCCGATCGCCCCCACGCTATTATAACGCTACAACGGTCGCCGATTGGCCAAAAGCCAGATTGCACCATACTCAAACCAACAACAATTATCCTACATTGTATTCATGTTGTTCAATGGTATTCTCAAACTACATTCCCTCTACGGTATATATTAGGACAGATTAAATTGATCTCAGAATTAATCTAAGAGTTGCTCAAAACATGCTGCTTCATCTTTTTTGGTGTAAGATTAACCTACCTATTGGCTAATACAGTGGGCCAACTGTACTTGAGAGGCAACTTATCGCTCTTGTTTAATAAATTTCCACAGTTTATACTTAAAGAGGATCTACTCATTTTTCAGGTTGACGCCATCTTATCATAATGACCCAACTATTGAATAATGAGGCAGCAATTGATGAATCAGAAGATGAGCCTTCCGGAGAAGAAAGTGAAGTTGAGGAAAACTCGGAAGAGGCTTCCGCATCAACACAAGAAGGGAAGCGTAAATTTAGTCAGGTGTGTTCATAAATTGTTTTACTATGCATGTCCTTACTTTAGTTTTATATACTGAATCGTGTTTAATATTGAACGCAGAAAGTTGCGGTATGGACAGATCTTATTATTTTTAGCTAATCTACATGAATCAATCATGAAATTCTGTGACCAGCTCAACTGACCCATTGTGCACAATTGGATTTTTTTTTTTGAATCTATTCAAATTTCTATCCCATCTCATCTCGTATAAAATTAGTCGTAAAAGGTTGATGGCAAATGTAAATGGCTTTGATAGAAAAGTTCATTGATCGTGAAGACATTTCGGTGTTAAGCAGGCACCTTGAATTTGGAATTTGTAAATTAATTAGGAGGTATGTCTCCTAGTGGCTCAATAATTACAAGTTGTTGTAGGTATGTGAGTCAAAATTTTGCTGTTGCAAGAAAGTCGAGAATCAAAGCTGATACAAAAAAGCAGTGCCTGTGATACCTAGTTTTGATGTTTTTACTGCTCTCATTTTACATTTAAAAAAATGTCTTAGGTAATTTTTTATATTCTCAGGTCTCTGATGAAGGAGAGGTTCCAGATTCTAGCAAGAAACCAAAAACAGAAACAGAAGCGCCTAAAAGAATCAGACCCCCAACTGCAGCAGAGTTAAATCGTCTTAGAGAAACGGAGAATTTGTTTCACTCCAATTTATTCCGTCTTCAAATTGAAGAAACTCTGAAAGAATCTAAGCCAAAAGATGCTGTTCTAGACAAAACGAAATCTTGGTTGAAGCAGTTAAAAACTATTCTTTGGAATATTGAGGAAACAGACCCAACAAAGGTATCATATCAATTATTTTTCGTAATTTAATTTAAATTTTCATCAACTGCAATCTGCACTCATTAACTGTCATGGTGACTCTTGCTTGCTAATCACACAGCAACATGCATTTCTGGAAAATAGGTATGCAAAAAAGAAACTAAACCATGTGTAGCCTCTTCACAGCGGTTTTGAAAAGGAACGTTTAATTTTTAATTTAAAAAATGGAGGAAAAGAATAAGAAACTATGATCTGCCGGACAAGAATCCTTTAAGCTTTTTGCTCGACTTGTTTCTCAATTCGGAGGCATTCGTCATGTGTTGAGTAAGCAAGAGAAGTAAGGCTAAGTGTTCTACTATGATCGATTGATGATGGTCGATTTACCTCAAAAGCCTGATGAACCATCAGAATGATTGACCAATACAAAATCCAAACTTCTTACTCATCTTATCGTCTCCTAAGGAATTCAAATGGACTTTTTCAAAAGTTATCATTTCTTTTTTCTTGTATTGCAACTTACAAGTTTGCAGTTCTGTCAGTTTAGGGGGTTAAAAGTCTCTTGGTTATTAGAGACAACTTATCCTCCTAGTCATCATATTTTCTCGTTGCCTTTTTATAAGAAATATCCAATATGTCTGGATTGATATAAATGTGTAGTATTCTTGTACTATAAAAGACTGCAATTTTAAGCATTAGATTTCTCAAATAACTTCTCATTCCTCAATTTTGCTCCAAACTTGCATTAGACTTACAGTGCTTTCTTTCTAACTAAAATTCATTTTAGGTGTCAGAGTTGAGCTGGTTGAAGGAAAAGAAGATCAGACCGCCAATCAAACTGAATGCTGTTGAACTTGAAGAAGAATTTGCGTTCAAGAAGCCCAGTAAAATAGAAGTAGTTGGGTCGTACAGTCTGGGTTACTTCTTAGGATCAACTATAGCCATTGATTTAGCGGTTCAAATTCCACAGGTATGAATTTTTTTTCCTGTGGTGGGTAGAAGTCGCAGAGCGCCCTAGTGCGCAGTAAAAGCGACTTACACATACGCATGAATTTTTGTCTCCAATCTATTTAAGAATTTGTTTAAATTGAAGAAAAAAAGAATCAGAGCTGCATTATGTAATGCTACAACAGGAACAGGAGAGCTAAGTTTCAGTATTATGCCTCGACCCAAATTCCCATTGTTGTGAAAAAAAGTTAAAAGAATAGAGAGCCAAACTTTGTCAAGAAAACTGATGAAGAACAGCAAGTAAATCATCAAATATTGATATTTTCTGTTCATATTTATGGCAAAGAATTGATTACTAAAGTATTTGTTACAAACACACCGACAATTGATTCTTTTCTATAGGTTTAAATGTCAGATCAATCGTCATATTGCAAAGCATGATGCACCACCAACAAGAATTGGCACATCTCTGTCCAGCATTGCGTCATACATGTAAAATGGGGAGATAGGTCTGGATTACTATCTTGATTACTCTTAAAAGGAAATGAAGAGAAGATTTAACGCACTCTGTAAAAGTGCTGTTATCTGCAAGTCATAAATTGAATACTTTCGTGTCACAAGAAATACGCATGTTTGTCAACTCGGTTACCAGGCAGTTTGTGGCGGATATTAAAAATGGCGGTTGTCAAAAATTTTTGTTATTACACATTAATTTCTGACTTTTTTCAGATTATTTTTGGCAAGAAAGACCATCAAAATGAGAGGTATCATCGTAAGAGAAGCCTTTACCTTTGTCATATTGCTAATGCCCTTTTGTCCAATTCAACCATCGTCAATGAAGACATGCATTTTACGCTCCAAAATTATAACTTTACAAAGCCAGTTCTAGTGGTAAAACCATGCGGTAGTCTCGGCAACAAGATCACTGTTTATATTCACTGTGTTGTTAGTATGAGTATGTGCAAACCAACAAAATTGGCACCCAACAGGAACAATGTCAAATCCTCATGGTTCTTGGATAAAGAAGTAAATGAAGGTATACATTTCAAAATTATCTTTATGGTCTTTCTTTTAAATTGTGTATGGTCGTACATTGCATATATTAATTTATAATTTGGATGAGTGATTAGACCTAGCAGATGCAGGTGTTAAAAAGTGGTTTACCTTGTGACTGCATGCATTTCGGCTCTGGGGCTATGCAAGTTTTTAGTAATATTTTGAGTTGAACAGTAGGTTCTTAAACACCATCAGAATGCTCAATATAAAAGACGAAGATTATCTTCCCCTTGCTCAACTTATAATTCTTTTACTGATAATCAACTTATGATTTGACTAGTATGTACAAACTTCAGACTGAAGATTTCACGAAAGTATGATTTTTAAATGAATAAAAAACAACCATTAGATGAAAGTAGTTCATTTTTTCATGCATGCCCAAAGATAGTTGAATAAAGAAACGAAGGATTTTTTTTCCCTTTTATTTTGGTGCAGAGACAGTCGAAGCTGACCTTTTTTGGTTCTTTATCCATGACTTGCCGTGGTTTTGAAAAGGACACTCAAATTTCACCGATATTTTGCAAGAAACTTGCCAATCCTATCATGCTTTTGTGAAAATTTGCTACTTTAACAGAAGTGTGAGCTTGTCTTTCCATTTATTCATCTGATCATTGCATTATCAGAAATTCTGCGCAACCTTATTTTGGTGAATTTGAACCCCAAAAAGAGGAAGCATTTTTGCCTTAACCATTAAACTATTCCTCGCAATTAAACCACAACTTTGTGTAATTTTACTTTAACCTTTACAAAGAGAACACAAAAAAACAATGTGTTTTCTCTCTTTTAGCTGTATGGTGTTTAAGTTAATGAGAAGAGTTTTAGATATTTTTGCAGCATAACCTTGTGTTAAGCCTCCTTCATTATTGCAGTCACTATTTTTATAGTACGATATGATGCTTTAACATGTATGTATTTATTTGTCAAAAAGTTCAGTTTCTGACTGTCAATTTTATTTATTTACAGAAAATGAACCAGCAACCCCATTTTACAATTCAAGTATTTTAGAAGATATGGTTACTCTCAGCAATGAAATTCTCAGAAAAAAGATATTTACAGAGAACCCAAAATTCAAGGATGCAATGAGTCTGCTGAAGATCTGGTTGAGACAACGGAAACTTAATGAGGTGTGACTTACAATTTGTTTATCATCAGATATATTGAACCGAGCCTGCACTTTTTCCTCCTATCTAAAAATGATGAGGGTCTCAAGGAGCTCTTTCTCTGTCATATTTTCCAGGAAATCTTGATATGTGAAATGTTTGATTAATCCAATATCAAGATTTAATACTATCGCTCGGTGTTTTGTGAGTTTTCGTACTTTTTGGAGACATTTTAGCACGGAAAGCATAAAATTTTATGCCTTGGTATGCTCTTAAAACTTTTAATTTTCTTGTTCCTTATTCAATTAATTGCATTCATTCATAGATGTTTGCCTAATTTGAGGATTTCAGCTTTCATTGTCACTTTTTCCAGGTATTACCTTTTCTTGAATAACTTTTGATGCAAAAATAAAGTCAAGGCGAGTGAAATACAGTTATGGCCTTTAACTTTCACTCTGGTTCGCCTATTTTCCTTCTTTTTCATCTTTTTACCCTCTAGGAAGTACTCACAAAGAGTTTCCACTTTAATATATAAAGTTTCTATATTTTTCAGTGTAGTGAAGATACCTCTTCTGGTTATTTTTATTATCAACTTGACGTTCAACCCAGAAATTCCATAAGATGAGTGAAATTACGACTCCAATCCTCTGAAGAATGTACTTATATCCCAGTAATAATGTTAAAAATGATTGACAATTGAAAAAAGCAAGTTAATTTGTAAAGTGATGGTTGATGTAATTTCAAGCCTGGATGTGTTTCAGGGAGTTGGTTCGTTCAGCAATTACATGATGTCAATGTTTCTAGTCTATCTCTTTCAAATTCGAAGACTTAATAAATTTATGAGCAGTTACCAAATTCTGCGTAATGTGTGGATTGTTTTAAGTAAGTGTTTCGTACATATTTTTCATCCTAATTTTTTATTTAAAGAGCATAACATTCTGGTTTTTTAAAGTGATTTTTACAATTGTTATAGATGTATTTATAACCATAATTTGACGCCAACTAAACCAGAAAAAAGGAGCCCACTAAGCAAGGCCGTGCTCTAACACTCAGTGAAAAGCCTCTAAAATGCTGCCTGACGATAAACGTTTTGCACCTGTCTTGCTGATCAAACACTGAGAAACTTGACGTAAAACGCCTCCGTGTGCTAAGGTATTAAGAGTAAGATAGATCAGAGGAAGAGAGACATACTTTTCTCATCATCTGTACCTTCGAACCGTTTTCATTGTATACAAGCAATATAGCTTTAACTTTTATTCATAGATATTTTCATGATTTTCAAGGATTCAAATCTCTATTTTATGAATGCAGTCTAACCTATTCTTCTGTTGATTTTAGGTCAAGCAAATTGGACAACTGAGGGTATTTCTTTGCAACCTGCCGTGAAGAGTGAACCAGAAGGGCCTTCAGTACCTAGTATTTCTGATTTTCATGCAGCATTTGAAGTTGTATTTATTGATTTAACTGGATTACACAACATTTGCTCAAGTTTAAGCAAGACTGTTTATTTAAAGGTATGATCCAAGCAAGTTTTTCTCCCCCCTTAAGAGTCAAAATTTTACCTTCTTTCCTCATTTTTCCCCTAATGTACCTGTGAATCGGTCGAAAAACTAAATATTTTATGGGTATAATTCTTCTCAGCATATTGTATGAACAAAATACTCTCTGAGGACTTAAATCTGTAATTCAAAGTTACACATTTTTCCAGCCTCTTTATCCAGGGAAAGGCGGCTGCAAAATATAACAGATCAAAGACAAAAAATTATGTAAAAAAACTAAAACGTTTCAAGATAATTGCCCAGTCATTTTTGTCTTTGATCTTTTTTATCTTGCAGTAGCCTCTCTCAGGATTATGTTATTATTTTACTGTGTTTTTTTGACTGATTAAGTTGTTTATTTTTACAGGTCAAATGTGAAAGTGCCTTAGCTTTGGAAACTTTAGACAACTCCAGCGTAAACAGTTTTCAATCATTATTTATGGTTCCCATTTCATTCTTGCAACACTATGACAATGTGATTCAGTGAGTTTTTATTGAAAATATCAATTCAAATGATTGTGCTATGACAAACTAAAATTTTATTGCATCACTAGGAAGCGCACTAATGTTTCAACTCCTCATCAAATTCTGCCAAGTCTTTCTGTTTTTTTTTTTACTTAATTATGTGATTGAAGCTTAGAGTATTGAATTGCAAAATTTTTATGAGACCTTTCAAATTTGTATGCATTCTGGGAACAAATGAATCCTCAAGTCAATCAAGAAAGTAGACACCATTCTTAAAAAATTAGTGACTTTATACAAAACATACTCTAGAGTAAACTTTCTTTCCTCTAAATTTTAGCTCTTCAGCGTAACTTCAAGCATGCTGTGAGCTATGAAACTCAATTCAATTTTGGAAAGTTGAAACTGTTAAACTCATTTTCATCCAAATCGCAAAAATTGTACGACTTTCCCAATTGGAGTACATTTTGTAATTAGGAACTACAATTTCTGGCTCAGTTTAGAAATAACTTGTATGTACCATTAATTCCCCTGCACACATAAGTATTTTTATGGTTGAACCAGAAATTGCAGTTCCTAACTACAAAATGGAGTCCAATTACCCAAGGTTTGCAATGGGTTAGATTAACTAATTAAACCAGAATCAGCCTGACTGCTTTGCATTTCATGTATCTAACTTCCTCTCTTGTCTTTAACAGGAAATGTACGCAATGCAACCTTTCAAAAAATCTCTATAATTTCACTGAAAGTATGTAGAATAAACCAAAAATATTTCAAGGCACCATGTAGCTAAGTTCTCTTCCAATAAAATAAGATCTGGTAGAATATCAAGCAATATCTGATACAGTTAGGCTTATTCTGGTCGATGCCATCCAAATCTTAAAGTAGCCTCACAATAATCCTCTATTTTTCAATCAACAGCGTTCATTTTCCATTCTCTTTACTAATCTGACACTCATTCTCTGTTTTCTAGTTTTCGAGATTTGTCTTTTATGAGAAGTGTAATACGTAAGCACAGTCCTCAAGAGAAACAGCTTGACAGCACCAAAAATGTTATAAGACAGTTCACGTCTCTCATCATTTCACTCGTAGAGAATGGTCTCGGTGATCGTGTCTCTCAAATCGGCATTCAAACTCATCCTGCACCTCTGAAGTGGTCGATCAAATCCAAACCATCCTCCATCCAAGATTCTATCTCTGTTTTAGTTGGTCTGATGTTGAATTCAGAGACAGCATTCAGTGTTTTGCAAAAAGGTCCTGATGCTAATGTACCAGAGGTATGTCTATTCCAGACATTATCATTGCTTTCTGACTTGTTTTCTTGGTTAATTGATTCTATTGAATTTTAGTTTGTTCGGTGATTTTATAGCACTTACCTAGAGTAAAGAATCTATAAAATAGAGCATTATCAAGAGATACCATCAAAAAGACTAGAGTTTTTACGTTTTAATTGATTTTTCTCTTTCTTCTAAATTATCAAGACGAAGATTTTGGATTCTGACTTGGATGAGGTAGCATAACTTAGAAGTTGATTATTTTAAATTTTAGGACAGAAATTTTAGCTTTCTTTTTTGTACTTGGATTTTTTATGGATTAATTCCAACAATGTTTGGTACTCTATTTAATTTTTTCACTCCCCAAGTACATTTAAGTGAATATGCCTCCCAATATTTTACAGCAAAAAAAGATTAGCCTCAGGGATAGGTTCATAGTATCTGCAATTATTTTAACACCTATAAGTTGCCAAACATTTAGGTGTTTTGAACCAATTTGACCAATTATGAATGCTGTTTTTTTCAGGCCAAGGGTTTCCGACAATTTTGGGGAAGCAAATCAGAGCTGCGGCGGTTCCGTGATGGTACGGTTTGCGAAGCAACTATCTGGGCTGAAGACAATGCTCCTCTGAAAGAAAAACGGATTACCACTCAGCACATGCTCACCTACCTGCTGGACTTCAAATTGAATCTGAAGATGCCTCAGTATCAGTATGTTAGCAATCAAACAGAAAACTTTCTCGATAATAATCAGGTAAACCAACTTTTCAGTTTTGCTACCTTATTTTTTCCAATTCTGGGTCATTGTTACCTCTAATTTTCTTCGATCTTGATATTCCACCGATTGAATGAATTGATAGCCCAGTCAAGTATAAAATTTAAATATAAATGTTTGTATGGACCAACAATGTTCCATCACATCTTTTTTGGAACTTCAGGGAAGTATTCGCGGGATAAATGCTGCAATTCATCAGATGAGTGTTTAAAAACTATACTGGAATTTGGTGTTGTGAGTCGATCTACTTTTTAGAATATCTAATGGCATGTACAGGAAAAATCTGGAATTTCTCCTCTAACTTTCTTACCAAAGATTAATAAATGATTAATAAATGAAACTTTAGTACTTAAATGATAAAATTCTAAATCACCTCAACAATTCGTTCTTTTCAAAAAAAAAATGTTTTTAAGTGCTCATTGATTATTTTTATGATGATTTCTTCCAGTTTATTCCACATGGTTTCAAGTATGGAACTGGGGAAGAAGCTTGTCTGCAGGTAATGAGCGCCTTTGATCAGTTAGGGAAGCAATTGCGAAGCTTAAAGAACCTACCGCTAGATATCAGTACTCTGGTCGGCACTTCTCCGGTGTTCCGCTATGCAGACGTTTTCCCTCCATTGGCTCAGACTTTATCGCCCAACCCTGCTGTCACAACTGTCAACGAGGGTTGTGTTATTTTCAATGGCTTGGAACTAAACAAGTGCACCAATTACATTCCTGCAATTGATGGTAGGCTAAGTTTATTTTTTTATGGTTTTGCTAGACTCTTTGCGGTCAGGCAAGACGGGACAAAATTATTTGTGAATTCTGGTTGGACATCAAGCCAGGCCTGAAATTGACTCGTAAGTTTGCTAAGTTAAATGTCAGGCCTGGCCCAAAATCTTACTGGAATTCAGTACTAATTTAGTCTGGTCTACAGTCTACCGCAGAGGGTGAGACACTTCTTCACAAACCCCTTAAATTTTCAACATTTTGTATTTCCATGACATCTCATTCCATATTAAGTAATGAATTAGAACTCAAGGGGGAGACAGTCACAACTAAGTTTTGACCACAAAAGATTGAGTAAACCGATTGATCAAATACTAGATTTTTTTTAATTTTCTAAGAATTTTTAGTGAATTTCCTGTAACGTAGTAGACTTGAAGCTTTTTTAGCTTCTTTTTTTGACCTCATTATTTCGCAGCAAAATTAAGTCTCCAAATTTTTTAAGTGCAGTAAATCTGTGATCTATTTCAATAAGCTACGCAGTCATCTTAGTCTCCGGAATGACCTCATAATTTTTCTGTTTTTGTATTTGATCATTATAGTACGTCCACATTAAATCAATTTAGTATTTAAAAAAAAAACTTGTGCAAATTTTCAAGACGTGGATAAATTGAGATCTGGTGTCCCAGGTTAAGAAATACCTTTGGTAAATCAATGTTTCAAATTTCTAAGTTAAGTTTAATTTTCAAGTGCATTTTAGTTTTGAGACTCATTGTTAAATTTCATTTCATTTCATTCCTGAATCAGGTGTCATACATCTTATTGGAAGTGGAAAATGGCCAGATGATATTGCAGCCGTGAGGAGAATCAAAGCAGCATTTTACGTCAAGTTGGCGGAACTTTTACGAGTGGTTCATCGGCTGGTCTGTCAGCCATATCCAGAATATTTGTCTGTCATTAAGGTAAGAACATAAGATGTGTAATCAAGGAGCAATTCAGTCTGGCACTGAGGCTATCATCTTTGGGTTTCACAATAATTGAATTTTTACGAGTATCAGGGAGTTAGATGTTCTGAGAGCAACTGAAATGGATTTTCGGTGAAAATTTGCCAGCATCTATGTCACTAATGACACGATTTGGGAGGTAAGTAAAGTTGTAAGTAACACCATGCATGACTTCATTTCCTGGCAGTTTGTGACGTACGGACATGTGCCAAAAACATTGGAGGAGAGGTTGTCTCCAGGGTGTCTACAAGTCCGGAATTTCCGGAAATAGTACTGATTTTTTAAGGGCGGTCTGTAAGTACTGAAAAAGTGCGGAAATTCTACATGATGGTCCAGAATGATTATCATTTTTTTTTCATTTTTGTCGCAATTTTAGCAAGAAATTCAAATTTTTAAAATTTTCAGAATTTCGTTTAATGGAAGTACTGAAGAAGTAATGAATTTTTCTGTTAAGGAGGTACTGAAATTCTCGGGAATGAACTGAAAAAGTACTGTATAAGTACTGATTTTTGGCCAGCCTGTTTTAGTAGACACCCTGGTCTCAACAAGTTTTGAATCGGGTTCTTCCAAGGAAAAAACAACAGGTACATTCTGTGAAGGTATAGCAGCAGGGCCTGCACAAAGAGATCTAGAAATATTAGTTGCCAAATGACTTTTGGTGCAACAGATATGGCATTTGGGCGTCGTAAAGCCAGAGTTCGCTGTTGGAGTGACTTGTTATATTTATCAATAGGCAGTCCGCAATCATGTATTGGTAATTTTAAGATGTAGGTAGTGGGCTAGGGGAACCCAAACATACTCAATTTTTCAAATCAAAGATCAGATTAATAAAAATGGTTACAAAAAGGACAATGTAGCAGTGTAAGAAGAGTAAATGAAAATCAATAAAATGCTAACTCGGTCAACAATTATTCTTTGGTTTTCATAGGATGGCTTTGTTTTCCGGTTGAAAATCTTCTATTCAGGTGAAGTAACGTTGCTGAAACGTCGTCGCAATGAAGAGGACTTGATTGAATATCATGATACTGAAGAATCCTTAGAACTGGAACGCAACCTTGTCCATCTACCTCAAATTACTAGTGCTCTGCATGGGTATGTTATGGTCCTCACAGAAAGTATTTTTTCCCCTTAGTCCTCAAGTGGTTTTAGTAGCCATCTTTAGACTACTTCACCCCTCAATCCTCTTTGTACAAAAATATGCTTGAAACTGAATCTGTAAGAAAGTATATATTTGGAGATCTAATTTTTATTGTCCATTATTTTTTTATACTGCATATCAGTTGGTTAATTGGTAAAGCCAGAATCGAACTAAAGTCTAGGAAGCGTAAGATATTCTATCAATATTCATAATGTCATTCTATACATGACATGGACAGCAAATTTCAAACCTTTGTGCAAAAGAAATTGAGAAATTAATGATTTCCATTTGTCTAATAAAATGGACTATAACAGTAAGTACAAGAACTATGAATTTAACGTTTTAAATACAGTTTTGTAATCAGTTCTGAAAATCATGCTGTTGGTAATAGCCTTATCACTTCACAAGATTGTGTACAGCTCGGAAGAGAGGCAAGATGTACTGGTCAAAATTGCATGAGGTCAAAGACCCTCGAGAATTTGGTAAAGCTCCTTGTTTTAACTTTTCCTTTTTATCTGTGGAAGGTTCAACTTGAGAAATTCTTCATCCAATATTTTTTTCATTTCAGATTGCACTTAAAATATCCCTCCTTTGGGCCTGCGTGTGCTCTTGCTAAAAGATGGCTGAACAGTCAATTATTGGATGATTTCCATTTTCCTTCAATCATCGCTGAATTATTAGTTGCTTCTTCATACACTTCTCCTCATCCACACTCACCTGCATTCAATCCGCAGACCGTCTTCCTCAGGTTTCTGGCGTTGCTATCTCAGACTGACTGGAACACAGAGCCCTTGGTCGTCAACTTCAATTCTGAAATGCCAGGTTTGTTAACTCAGTTTTTCATCCGTCTGCAGCAAAAGTTTGGTTTTATCTTGAATCTGATGGAACTAATGTAAGAAGAACAATGATCCACCAATGTTAAAAGCCAAGTTTCTGGTATATGTAGTCATGGTCTGTCATAAAAAAATTGGCCTAAGTCTGAAGTCACCTCTAATCAGAAAATTTTTGTTGCAGCGAACGTTGTTGTCGAACTAGAGAAGAAATTCCGTGAAGAGCGTGATTCGTTTCCACCGCTGGTGATATTTACTCCATACGATGAAAGTGGTACCGTCTGGAGTAAAGACAGTCCTTCACCAGTAATCTTCATCAGAACTGTGAAGCTTGCCTCCCAAGCACTTCAAAAGTTTGAGACAAACCTTTTAATGATGGATGCTTCGCTTGAAGTAGCGGTATGTATTATATTGATGATGAAATTACAAAACCAAGTCGACGGTGTAAGTCGGCAATTAAATATCTCGTTTGCGGTGTCTGAAAATCTCCGCCTCTATGTTATTTTTTTAAGGGAGAACAAATTGACATAATTCCTTGAAGTTTATGCAGAATTTTCTTTGCACAGAGAAGAAAAATTACGGCAGTTTTAAAGAATTTCTGTTGAGTAGTTTTCCGTTTGAAAAATGAAGTATGGCAGGAAGTCTGCGACGTCGCAAACCGAGTTATGTGATTACCGACATACACCGTCAAAATGTCTCACTCTGCACAATATTGCAGTCTTTCTGTTACATTTTTCTTTTTTGAAGAATGCCTGGTAATCAATATTCCACCAACTTTTGTGTGGTTTTTCTTTACACTTTCAAAAACATCTCTGAAAATCTTGTCCAAAAATTTAGAAATTTGTGTGTCTTTGTTGTCTTGTTGTGTTGTTGTCTTTTTGTGTTTATTTCTTATCAATAGATGAATGAATAATGTAACTAATTATTTCTATCTCTTTTTTTCTTTAGGGTCTATTTGTTCCTCCTCTAGATGCGTACAATATTGTCATACGTTTAAAAGTGAGCATGTTACCTCGTCAGTGGTATGCCATTGACGCTCCAACAAATACCTCTAAGCACCAATTACAGGCTCCTAATTCCTCAAAACTACCTATATCGGATTTTGATCCAGCTCAGTGTTTCCTTAAAGAACTTAGGGTAAGTCAAAGATTCTAAAACTGTTCCTGTCATAATAGCAATTTTTGTCCATCAGCTCTGTCAGTAAAAAAATTGAATAATCCACAACAAGCAGATCCCCCCTCTTTTTTCAAAAATTTGGTTCTATTCTAATACAATGGGCCTGTTGCAAACTTTTGCTAGAACAAAACTAAGAGTTGTTTCTCATAGATAATGCCTCAAAAATTACGATGAGCGCATCGGCAAAGTCTGAAATGCACCCATAACTTCACAATCTGCGTAAGAAATTTGCGGTTTTTTGAGCTTTCCCCTTCAAAAACAATACTACGGCACAGGTGAACATTTTGTTGGAGGAGTCGTACGTGCGATGGGACGAGATAACATCTGAATAGGATTAGACCAGATGACAATGGGCGTGTTTACATTCATATTTTCCGCGCCCGCCTTGATTGACCTTGAACTCTCCTCGAATTACGCGGGGAACTGCGCAAGCGTCGGTCATGATAAATATTGCCGATGATGGAGCAACTCCTCTAACAAAATGTTCACCTGTGTTGTAGTATCGTTTTTGAAGCGGGAAGTTAAAAAAAAACGCAAGTTTCTCACGCAGATTATGAAGTTATGAGTGCATTTCAGACTTTGCTAATGCGCTCATCGTAAATTTTGAGTCATTGTCTATAGGAAACAACTTTTATTTTTGCTCTAGCAAAAGTTTGCAACAGGCCCATTACTTCTCTTATCTTGGACTGCATTCTGCACAGCTGCATTCCATCCAATCCTATCACCATATTTTAAAAAAAAACCTATCCAAGTCTCCTCCAACTTTATCAGAATCCAAGAGACTTTTCATATGGTGGTTATTACCACAACAACTCCTTTTGAAAATGAATAACTCTCTTTTCCTTATGAGAATTGGTGCTTCTATAAATCCTGAATATGTTTTTATGCATTAATCTGTCGTTAAAAATTTTCCCTCCAAAATAATTTTAGTCTTTGCTGAGAGGGTGAAGTGGCAGTGATATAGAATTCATTGCTTATCAATTAAAGTATGTACAAACTGAACTTTCATGATCATTTAATGTTTTATCATTATTTAGCACAAAAAAATTGCCCTCTTAGGTATCCAACTAATATGCTGAAGCAATTTTATTGGTAATTGCAATGCTAAATTTGTTTTTTCTAATTTCTTTCATTGAATTTCAGGAAAACTATGATGAATTTGCACTATTCTTCCATGACACTTATGGTGGTAGTGTCATCGGAGTTCTCCTAAAGCCAACCGTCTTAGAATCCTGCGAATTTAAGGTAACCTTAATTTCAGGTTTTTTCTACACCAAATAAGTTAATTCAACTTTCTAAACTCTACCTCCTTGTTGCGTACAGTTCAGAACACATTTTTCAGTGTTTCTCAATTCAGTTCATCTCAGATGTTTTCAGTTGAACCTCATTTTTTATGCATCAGTGCCACGGTTTTAACCAGGATCGGCCAAACTGCATTTCACATTGCCTGTTTTCATCTCAAGCTCTATATTTTTAAAAGAGAATCAAACAACAGTTAGAAGGTGAATAAATAACATCCAAGAAGAAAGATGCCAGTTTCCAAAAGATCTCAATCTCGACAGATTTCTGTAGCAATTAGGCGTCACAGAGTGCCCCAGTGTAAGAGCGACTAATACTTACGCAGCAAACAACATCATTTCCACAATTTTTCAAGCCACGTTCCCTAATCTACAAAGAATATCCTCGCCTTTCAAATCAGAATTATGATAACTTTTTTATTAAAAAAACGAAACACTAAAAGAAATCAGGCAATGTCAGATTCTGGTTAAATATGTCAAATTCGAATCCTGAGAGTAAGAAACAAGTACTCTTAAGTAAAACTTGTAAGGTATGTAAGGTTATAATGTGCTAAAAACAGAAACTTGTTTTCACGAATTTACATCTTTAAAACACATCCTATTTGTGCCAGCACAGGTGAGATTTGTTTTAGAGTGGTGAATTTATGAACAAAAGTTTCCATTTATTACGTTTATTAGATTTTTTGATGAGTTTTGCCTTCAACATGGACTCCTAACTTAACCAGCCAGGGCGCAAAAAACTCACAGTGTCTCCTGTAAAAAAAAGAATGGATACGCTGAAAAAGCATGGATTTTCAAAGGTTTGCATGGAAGTAAAGAAAATTTACAGATTCTCTGTAAAGAGGTACATTTATACACATGGGAGGAGTAAAAATGGTGGTTGGAATTATGGGTGATTGTCTCATAAGACACCATAAGCTTTAGGCCCATAAGAAACGTTCTCTTTATAACTTCAACTTTAAACCTCCTCTGCCCAAGCAGAATAGCTGTTTTGAGTTTTTGAAAGCTTGGAAACGCATTTCTTGCTAGAATGTACCGTGAAAATACCTATTTTTTAGGCTGTTCCTGTACCTTGCAACAGTCTAATTGCAAGACATTGATATTGGTACATTTTTATAGCCTTTATTCTTTGCCATTCAACAAAAAAAATGTCATCTTGATCATTGTTGTTAATTTTAACATTTTAATTTTGTGGACAAGATTTTTTGTAGTTTTAAAAATTTAAAAGATTTTAGTCTCATTTTTACAAGTTTTAAATAAAATTTTCATTAACTTATGTACTCATACAAGTAATATTTTCTGTTGCAGGCAAAGTTCTTCAATGGACGATGTCCCTCTGGAGATAAGCAAAATTCTAGCTTGACATTCAATGTAGATGCCTTGATCGAAGACTTTAAGACAATAAGTTCAGGCCTCGTAGAATCTGTAACGTTGCAGAAATAAGTAAGTTTGAACAAAAAAAAATTCTTTATGGGTAAGTCCGTACCAAAGGAAGGTTTTTTTAAGTCAAACGAATTTCATTAGAAATAAATAAAAAATGATCATATTTTTTTTAGGAAATTTTATTTATTAATGTACAAAATAAGTTAAAACTTCTGTTAAATATTTTAATTGTAAATGTATGTACATACATTGTAAATATCCTTTTAAGTAATATTGTTTTGTAGCCAGGGACAAAAGTAATAAAAAAAAATTGACCTAAGTTGCTATTATTATTAACGTGATGTCTACATTCTAACAACAAATTGAGCTAAATTTCTTAAATCTATGTTTCTAATCAAGATACTTTTAGTTGCTTGTAGGTCTTCATAAACTTTTTACTTTTGCACAAGAAATGAATAAGCAAGTGTGACTTGATTTGTTCGGAAAAATTGTACAAATTAACAAGACGTTATCTGAACAATAAACGAGAAAAAAAAAGGAGCACCTTGCGTTGTGTAACTTTGCTGAAGCGTTAAAAAAATAATTTGTTTTCAAAAAAAGAAGGAAAAATAAAAAAAAGGGGGGAAACTGAACTTAGACTCCTATCTCATTGAAAAAAGAATCTTAAACATTTTTTTACTAGCACCAAATGAAAACAAAATTTCACCAAGACTTGCGATTGTGTTCCGACCGTACAATGAATATCTCAGATTTAATCACAGTTTAGAAAGGATAGGTTTGTTAAATCATACAATGAATGGACGGAAAAGTAATATTCAGAACTAATGAAAAACTCACGGAGGACAAATATTGCTGGAGCACTCTCTATAACTAATCAAGGCAGTTCATTTATTTAGCGATAACTATATATATTTACACTCAAAAACCTCAATGAAAAAAGAGCTCTTGCTCAATCCTGGTCAAGAAAAACTAGTCGAAATTAAAACTTTAAAGATCAAAGGAAAACTAACCGCTACGTAAAGCGAGAGAAGAGTTGAACCAATACATCCAGTTGACAAATACACATCTATTACTTTTCCAGGGTTGAAAATATTTTATGCTGATGAGTTAGGTCAAAAATTAGATTGTGGACTTTTTTACTCTTCTGACTTCGTTCTTTTGTCAAGTGTATGTTTAAGTATTCGCTGGATGTTTATAATTCGATCAGAGAAGAAGGCAAGAGCTCTTGTTTCATGAGGCAAGCTCAAATCATAAAATTCAGTATTGGTAACAACAGATCTTGTTCGTTTGTCCTATTCGAACATTCATAATTTTCTAATTCTATTTCAAAGCACTGTGATATTCCAAAAGGCTTACACCTTAATCTAATGGCAGGATCATTCAGCAATGCTAAAGTATTTTACGCATCTGAAATTTTCTTAATTTATTAAAATATGATAGGAAGGGAAGTTACTACAGTTACAATCACAAAGAAGAAAAATTGTTTGGAGTTGTGTCTCTGGATGGGCCTGTTTTAACGCAAACGTTGCAGTTAAAACCCATGGTATCCCCTTCCAGTTGCAGGCTTCTACAAGGAAGCCTTTAAAATGAATCGATCATTTCCCAATTTTCAGAAGCATTGAAATTTTGAAATTGAACTTGAAAGAATTATAATTCAAACCAATCATTACTGAATTTTGTATTTCTGTTTAAAGTAATATGTATTTTTTCTCACCTAATATGGATTTTTGGGTGTTCATTTTACCAGGATTGGAAAATAATTGATTCATTATGTGTGTGTTCTTTCTTTAAAGTATTAGGACAATACGGTGAAACTTCTCTTTCATAACCTATCTTCAAGAAAGACATGAATGGATTACAGTTGAAACGTTTTTTCCTCCAGCCAAGGGCGGAAAATTGGTAGAGTGGATGGGTAGTGAGTTCCTTGTTTCCTTGACAAGGTGCCTTCACTCGTTCGGAGAGGATATGTCGCCATCATTATTGGGAGTTGAAGCTTAACTTCTTTTTCTAGACTCTTCGGAGCGATCACAAACTGTAAAGGAAAATTAATCATCATTATCATATTATCTAAACAGCACAATAGTTTTATCTTTGAAAAAGGAACATAATTCCACGTATGCAGAACCGCATGCCCTCGTAAAAGGGTCTTGTATGGTCGAAAAGTTCTTCAGAGGAGCATCCATATGTAGCTCAAATAGTCCCGCAGCTATAGCAAACTTTGAAATTCGATAAAGATTCAGCTGTTGTTCGAAAAAATTTGAAAAAAAAAAAACGGTTTTTGATTGGAATTGGTGAGGGTGATAAATGTGTGTGATGATACAAGTTGGCTTAGTTACTACAAAGTCATAAAAATGATTACCGAGCGCATTGAGAAATCAAGTTCAAACAAATGATATACTCACATAAACATCATACTGAATTTTGATAAGATGACATCCTCGGAGGTTGGTTGGAGGAAGAGGAGGAACGTATAATTGCTCATTGTCCCATTCGTCCAATTCACCTGGTCTAATTTTTCCTCGTGTTAAGGAGGCTAGTTCACGAGTCTCAGACTGCAGGACCTTACTCCTTGCCATGTACTGAATCGTCTGAAAAAACAAATTTGAAATGAATCCTCCAATAAGCTTGAAAATTTCAAATTGAAACTGAAATAAATTGAGATAATCAACTGCAAACACTTTAGTGAAACAAAAAAATACTAATGGATTCAGTAGATTCTAAGATGCATTAGTGCATTGGTTCTCTAGTTGATTTTAAAGATCCCTGTCATAGAAAATATAGTTACCTCTGTGAGAGCGGCTTTAGTAGATTTGATCGTCACATTGCTTCTATTCCGGATGACTGCTGTTATACCGATGGTCTCTCCCGGCACATAGCCACCTCTGTCCAAAGCCACGTGACAGTAAACTGGTCCTGAGTTTACACAACTAACTCCTAGTTTATGCTCGATATCGCATTCAAATGGTTGCTGTAACAGTAGTAAAAAAATACAGTCTGCTGGAAACATAACTTACAAAAGTAGAGAAGATTGGAATAAATTTTCCACAAGATCTTAAGTTGATTCAATGATCAACTTGAACTTATTGTCAAATTAGGTTCTCATTTGGATTTGATACACCTGTTAGATAATTGTTGTGATGAAGACCGGCTCTCCAAACGGACGGCAAAAACCAAAAAATGTATACCTTCATTGCAACATTTGAAAATCTCGGAATGTTCTATTCTTTTTTTCAAAAGAAAACTGAGTAAGAGTATTTCCTTAAAATTTACTGTACGAATTTATTTTAATAAGTGAAAATAATTCACTGAAAATGTCATGTCAGTCTCTTTTCAAAAAAATGAAGCAAGAGCAGAGATTTGCAATATTGCAATCAGAGTGAAAACTTGCTCAATTAAAATTCTGATCAAATTTTCTAAGCTATCATAGTCATAGGTCTCCAATTTTTATTGAACAGATCAGTTAGTATGAACATGATATTTCAAGAAATTGATGCATAGTAGTCACCAAAAACATATTTTTCCTAAATTTCTCATTTTTATCACACTAGTTTTTAAAGATCCCCATGAGGCTAGGGAGACCGATTATTAAGTTTTTAAGGAAAGCAGCATGATTAGAGATGAAATATGATACATTGCATGGTAAAGATAAGGTAATGTCTTGTCTCGTTGTATCAACATCAGGATTCAGTAATCGGGCTGCAATTGAGATAATCCTGCAACTTTGAAACAGCCATTGCCATAGAAACTTCCCAACCCATATCTGAAGTTCCTAGTATGAGTTACAAGCAAAAATTCTGGAGAGGCAGGAAAAAGTAGAAAATGTACATTTATAATGAAGTTTTCACATTAATCTCTTTTCCCTCCCCTGGTGTAATTTTCTGCAGGGAAGAATCAAAACTTCAGTGTTTAGCTTAGTCGGAGAAGAATTTTATTTTACTCACAGCTAATATTGATGGCTCTAGATTGAGATCGATTGGACTCATGACTATGAACACCTGTTGATTTTTATGTGTCAGCCCGTTGACTTCTCTGAGAGCTGCCTTACAGTAGTACTGCACCCATCCGTGTTTCCCGAGGAAAGTTGAGGGTAGACCCAACGGCAGCCCCAATTTGAAAGGAAAACTATGGATTCCTGGCGATAGAACTACTGATCCTTGTCCTGGAAAAAAAGAAAAATCAATGTATCAGTATAGAAGCCGAGAAACCCCAGTATAAATTGTCAAGGAAACTTTCCTCCTACGGGGAGACGGTGCTCAACCCCTTTCCCAATTCTGTTGTGCTAAAGAAAATCGCTGTATGAGAATTCGAGAATTGCCAAATTTCTTTCTGTAAAATTTTCATTTTTAAGGAGGGTTATGAATGTTTCCCCTTCAAATTTTCAGATAATTTAAATCTGATCGCAATTAAAATTCTCGGAAAATTGAAGAAAGGATAAACTGCGTTCAGTAAAAAGGAAACAAGCCACATCAGCTATTGCCGAATTTAACTGGGCAATTTATTTTTTACAAGAGAACGTTTGTGCGGATTTCTTTGAAAATTTTCAGAAATTTGCTTCGTACCGTGCAAAAATTCATTGAGAATTGCTCCTAGTTCCGCACAGCTGTGTTCATGTAAAAAATTCAATTTCTCCATAAAATTTGGCAACAGCTGATGTGGGTTGGTTCCTTCCTGCTGAAGGCGGTCCAAATACTCACAGATATTCCTGAAAATTCGATTTTTATCAAAGAAAATTTGGCAGCGTATGAAGGCTCATACGGCGTTCTTCACTGGAAAAAAATCACATTGGATCTAGAGTCCAGACTCTTGAAAACATTGACAAGAAAAAATACTCTTGATTCAATCGGATTTTTGCTTGAATCAAAACGAAATCCGCTTAAATTAAGAGGCTTGGTTCTTGATTTAAGCTAGATTCTGATTGAATCAAGAGAAGTTTTTCTTGTCGATATTTTCAAGAGTCTGGACTCTAGATCCAGTGTGTTTTTTTTCCCAGTGTCCCTTCGCACGGCAGTATTTGATACACACCGTCGAAAATGACATCGCTCGCGGCTGTTAGTTAGGTCCCAAAATCGGAACACATGTTGAGTTGGACCGCTAGACGACCAACGCCAATCCGTTGAGTATGCATAAAAAAAGGCGTAAAGAATCGAACCGTTTACGACGGACAGCGATTATGCAAACGTCGCGCGTCGCTCAGCCGCCTGCGCCTCTGAGCCCAACGACGTTGCCTCGTTGTGCGCAATTACGCGCATGTTCCCGCGAAAATCATGGACAAGACCGTGAATTTAACAAAGGAGCCGGCAACACTGTTGTCGTACCCGTGGGAGGTGCGACTGTCAGTGCGAATGTCACGCGGAGACGGCGGAAGGACGGCCGGGCCCCCGCGCGGGGGGCGTCCAGGGGGCACGGGGGGCTCCTGCATGCCTACGGTAAATAGAGGCGAGGAATTTTAAAGAGGCTCCATTATTCGTCGGGAAATTGAAGGGCTTAGGAAGAGAGGTGGATGGTAATAACTCGTATCTGACTTGCTTGGCGATGATGTTGAACGCATGTATCAGCTCAAATATTAGGTGTTGGAGACTCTACAGGGGTGCTTTTAGAGAATAAACATGTGCCGATTGCCAAATTTTCTCAAGAACTTGTCCTGTTGTGTTTTTTTTTTTTTTTTTTTTTCGAATTACGTTAGGGTGTCTACGCACTAGTGAAAAAGTGACTTGGAAAAGGCTGGGGGAAAGTTAACACAATCATGTTGGGAAAATAAGAAATCCCACATGCTGAAGTTTCCCATAAATTATGTTTGCACGCCGGTTCAAGGATGGGGATTTTGGTCGCAGTCCAGAAATCATTAAGTTAGGTAATGTTTTTTATTGCTCTAAGTGTCTAGCATTTCGAACAACCGTAATCCAAACCCAAATTATGAGTGGAAACGAAACACGTTCTCTGTGTTTGTAAAATTACATTAAAAAAAAAAAAAAAAAATCATGTTTCTTTATTGGAAATTACCTAATCAATAATTCGCTGTACAAGAAGCCTGGGGAATCTAGCGGCACTTTTCGGTTACGGGCCAGATACCTTAATTTTTTTGAGCAATGATTTTGTGGCAGCTGTGTGTGCTGTACGTCCTAAAGTTAATGATCTAAATGTTTTTAATTTTTCACTCCGTATGTTTGGAGGGTCAATAATTATCTCCAAAAACGTTACTTATCGCAGCCCCATCAGCCTGTTTACCGTCAGTAGAAACCGGAAAATATCAGGAAATTTGATGTCATCAGGAAAATTAGTAGGGGTTTAGGAAATTACGAGTGCGTCGAGCATTTTAGCGGCTCTGGTGCTTGCACTAGAGCTGCTATTCCGGACGGTCCCAGCTGGGGAGTATCATTGGACCATGTTACATTGGAGAGACCGCGCGTTGGTTAATGGGAATCGGCGCCATTTTCGGCTATGTTCCTTGTCATGACTTTATTTTATTGCATATTGTTTTATTGTTAGCCAATGCTATGTTGTGTAGTGTATTTTTGGAATCATGGTGATACAGTCAATAATTCAAAACTTGTCTGTGCTTTAATCTCGTGATGGAAAAAATGTACTTTACGTTCAAAATTTGAAAATTTGAATTTTAAAGTTTTCGCGGTTAAGGAAGCTCCAACCACTGGGTTGGAGCTTCCTAGTCATATTACTCGATATCAGCTGATAGCAAACAAAGGTTACCAAGGAAACCGTAAACGTCTAATGCCGTCTGCCCACGTAGCAAATGGGAGGCGAAAATGGAAGTCATCAGTGCATCGTTGAGTGTTAACGCCCGATCCCATTTTCAGACATGTTCACACGTTTTGCTTGCAAAGAAAAAAGGCGGCAAATCAATTTTTATTATTGGACCAATGAGTGTTCTCCAATTTGAGTTTGTAAACATCGTGGTTTCTAGGTTAGGTTTTTGGCTGTGTGATAAATGATATTATGCCGTCTTTGATTTTGTTAAAATGACTCGATATATGTTATTTGATAAACGATTGGAGTTTTGATAAAGTAAGTTGATTTGAATTAAAAATTGTGTCCTTAAAAAATGGATGATGAGGTGATTTGGTTAACATGGGCATTTGTGGTACTTGCGGCGTATTGGGAGTTTGTATGGAAACGACGTGGCAGTAGTCCACACTTTTTACAAGAAACTATTTTGTACAAAGTTCTGTACAAATTTTACACTATTTATACAGTAATATAATACAAAAAAATTATGTACTTTATCACAACTCACATAGCTTCAAAACAAGATAGAAAATGATGGATGCTCAGCCCCGACACATCGATGATCGCGAAATTTGCGCGGCCCGCGCAATTTACACGTTCAACACTCACCGATGCACTGATGACTTCCATTTTCGCCTCCCATTTGCTACGTGGGCAGACGGCACACAACTACCGTGCCCATCGGGGCGATTATTGAAATGACATCGACTCTATGTCGCCGCTTACGACAAGACATATAGCCCTATCTTAACCGTGTAATATATCGCAATTCGATATTCAAAACCATTACCTACAATTTCAGATATAAAAATGCAAATTTTTTGCAGCCTCGCTAAACGACTTATCAACCATGCATTCCAAAGTTTCTTATCACAGGGCTGTGAAAATATACAATCTAATAAATACAAAATAACCAAATATCTAAAAAGACAAAATTTCAGTTACAGTCAGTTTCAGTCTTATTGTTGCACAAACTAGTTATTTGACAAAAAAAGAAGATGATCACTCAATTGAAAGAAATTGGCGCCCAATCACAACGACAAGTTAAAAAAAATACTGTGGGAGAAATTTTTTAGGATGCGGACCTCCAAAGAGCCTTCAAAATTAAAAGTATACAACAAGTGATAGTGCCATGCATTCTGCGTATCAAGGGCCAATACACATTTATACACCGGCTACGTAAATCTGCTAAGTTACAAAACATGAATCGACAGTTGTCGGATTGTACATCAGTGACAAAATGTGTCTAGGCCCTCATTCTTGACTACAACTACTGTCGCCAGAGCCGCTCTCCGACGCGAATGCGTTGGAGCTTCCTGCTTGTTTCAACTATACATACAGTTTGGATTCTGCAAAAGTGAAACATTTGATCAGGGCCGGATTTACCTACTTGCCGCCCATGGGCCGCCTGTATTTTTCCGCCCCCTTCTAATTCGTTAAGTGAACGTGCCGGTGGGGGAGGGGTGTATGAGACGCGTTCACTCGTGTTGGACACATTTTTTGTGAAAGCCCTGTCAACACTAACAAAAGTTCACGGAACTTTACACGAAAGTTAAGCTCCGTAGTCCATCGTACGAAATCCATCGTAAGCTTCCATCGTAAAGCGTCGTAGCCGTCCATCGTAAGCTTCGTAGTCCACGAAAGTTAAGTCCATCCCTGTTTGGACAAGGCCTTCCATTCATAACAAAACGAACGAAAAAATTATGAAAGAACAAACATAAATGCCGCGGTTTAATAATTTTAACTTCTGCCGCTGCGCCGACTGACCTTTGTTTGGTGCAATGCGTGAAGTATTCATGAAGTCTTGTAGGCGCTATGCGTTTCACGCCGACTGCTGCTGACCGCAGTGTGTTTGACGCAATGCGGGAAGTATTCATTCAGTCTTGTAGGCGCTATGCGCTTCATGCCGACCGCCGGGCTTCTCCTTTTCATCTCAGTCCTCGTCATCATTGCTCTTTGAGCCGCTCCCGCTCAAGGTCAAATTACGTGTTTGGTTTCTCTCTTTACTTGACTAATAATTAAAGGTGTTGTCTTTTTTGTCACCGAAAGACGACAACATTAGATGTGTAAAAAAACTTTTACTCTCAGAAAATGAGAGATTTTGTCGCATTTTCTCGTTTGAAATTTATTTTCTGAATCCGATTTTTTCTTCTTTTCTTTGATACCTACATTCAAACAGATTGCAAAATTTGCCGCCATAGGCCGCGGCCATCCCCTTAATCCGGCCGTGCATTTGATTCAATTTTTGAATACGTTGGTTTTTAAAATCAAACAGCTGTCAATTTACTCCCGTAAATAATTAGGAAATTTCATTTTAAACATCAGGAAAGTTCAAAATTACATTTTAGTAGACACCTTGCCCACGCCAACAATTTTTCCCGCATGTTGGGTCTTAGTTTGATTAGGTTTGGACCGGGG